ATTAACGCTGAGAGATTGTTACAGTCTTACTAGAAAATGAGCTAGACAGGAATCATGCCTGATGTAGTAAATGTTCTGCCTCTGCAGCTGTCAGAGGGCAGTGCAATAACGACAGCAACGTGGAGATTTTATAAATAATGGTAAACCTCCCTCAGTATGCCAGCAAGCTTGCCTAGTCCCCAAAATAATCAAAGTGGGTCGACTACCTAGATCACGATACACTAATAAAGAGAACTGCCTATCTCTTTAGCATCTCGAAGTCAGCTGTCTAGCCTGCCTAACCAGACTCAAAACCCTGCTACCTAACACGTGTTTCGGCGCTGCAAAAACGCGCCTTCGTCTGAGGCTCTGCAGGCGTTCTCGGGAATCCGGTGGCTAATTTATATCTATATTCAGCCAATCAGCTGGAGGAGTGTGCGCGCCAAAAGGGGCAATAGTCCGGACATAGTCACGCCTACCTGATGACGTATCATCAAAGTCCGGAGTGGTAACCCCACCCCCCCCCCCCTGGTGGCACAATGAATTAACTGATTCGGCACATATTAATTGATGTATGTGTATAGTAACCCCTTGTGTGCTGAAGTAAATACCAAGCAAAAAACAACAAACAACAATATGTTCCTATTTAAAGGGATAAATAAATAAAATAAAATAAAATGTATTCTATATTATTTTTTCATTTTTACAGTAATAAGATGTCCAACGAAATATAGGCTGGAGTACATAAAGTGAGAATCAGATGGAGATTTAGAAAAACTTAATTCATGGAACATGTACATTCTGCTAAAAATTTGAAGGATACCCCAGTGGCGAGACATATACGAAATCAACATCAGGGAGACCCAGGGAATGTTAGATTTGCTGGAATAGAAAAGGTGACTTTGGGACGCAGAGGAGGTGATTTGGACCTTACCCTCCTCAAACGTGAATCATATTGGATATATAGATTCAGAACCTTGACCCCTAATGGCCTTAACGAAGGTTTTACCTTCGCTCCCTTCATTGAGAGATAAGACTATGAAGAATTTAGATAATGTTAATACGTTTATATATACAGTTTATGTTTGTCATTTACTAAAGTTATAAAAGATTGAATATATTTCATTTTTTTTATTTTCCTTTGGATACCGGTGGCGTAAATTCCCTAGACAGCCGATTCATCAATTTAAGCACAATTTGTGATACCCCATTTTTAAATATATATCCCTAAATTAATACTGGATACAGGATCATAAATGTAGTGCCTGTACTCATTAATATTTCATTATAATGTACTACTAGTCACTTTTTTCCTTTATCTGATTTTTGTGGAAAGGGATCTCTTGATTAGGAAAATACCAAGGTACAATTAATAGATTAACATTGTTTTGTTTTTTGTTTTTGTTTTTGTGTGATTTAGATATTGCAGTACATTTATATGCTTGTATGCATAATTTGTTTGCTGCTAAATTAAGTTTTTCTAAATCTCCATCTGATTCTCACTTTATGTACTCCAGCCTATATTTCGTTGGACATCTTATTACTGTAAAAATGAAAAAATAATATAGAATACATTTTATTTTATTTTATTTTATTTATTTATCCCTTTAAATAGGAACATATTGTTGTTTGTTGTTTTTTGCTTGGTATTTACTTCAGCACACAAGGGGTTACTATACACATACATCAATTAATATGTGCCGAATCAGTTAATTCATTGTGCCACCAGGGGGGGGGGGGTGGGGTTACCACTCCGGACTTTGATGATACGTCATCAGGTAGGCGTGACTATGTCCGGACTATTGCCCCTTTTGGCGCGCACACTCCTCCAGCTGATTGGCTGAATATAGATATAAATTAGCCACCGGATTCCCGAGAACGCCTGCAGAGCCTCAGACGAAGGCGCGTTTTTGCAGCGCCGAAACACGTGTTAGGTAGCAGGGTTTTGAGTCTGGTTAGGCAGGCTAGACAGCTGACTTCGAGATGCTAAAGAGATAGGCAGTTCTCTTTATTAGTGTATCGTGATCTAGGTAGTCGACCCACTTTGATTATTTTGGGGACTAGGCAAGCTTGCTGGCATACTGAGGGAGGTTTACCATTATTTATAAAATCTCCACGTTGCTGTCGTTATTGCACTGCCCTCTGACAGCTGCAGAGGCAGAACATTTACTACATCAGGCATGATTCCTGTCTAGCTCATTTTCTAGTAAGACTGTAACAATCTCTCAGCGTTAATCAACAAGGTGGCTATTTTGCATCTTATGTAGCAATATTCTACCAAATCATATTATCATTCACTGAGAGAGGGCTAACCTAGCAACATAGTGACAGCCTTACTTTTTCAATAGCTGCCTCCTATTTGCATCATAGATTTGATTCAGCTATTTATTGGGCTCTGTGTATGTCCTTTTCACCTTAGGATTCATTAGATGTGAAATTCAGCTTGCACATCCCAATTAGAATTATTTATCTGACCTATCCAGACTCATTTTTAACGTATTCTTTTGTTCCTTATTGGACAGAAGCTTTTATATATAAAATGGGGGCATCCTTCTAGTTCTGACCTCTTTGGTCAGTTTTTCTTTTTTTTTGCTATACATATAAGTAAGGGTTACCCCCTATTTTGGACGCCCCAGATACACACCCTAACTGGTTTTTCCCTGTTTCAGGGTATCCAGTATTCTTCATTGATTAGAGAGAGTGCAGAAAATAGTTGAAAACTATACTTAAGGTTAATGTGAGTTGTCCTCGAAGAGTTCAGAGATATAGTCCACTTGTAAAGTAGAAGGTTATCCGTTCTCCAGTAATCCTCTATGGTATTAAGCATATTCCTTCCCTCAGCTCAGAAGGCTAGGACGGCTTATCGGAGCTTGTGGAGCCGGCGTGTAACCGGAGCCGGCGTCCATACCCGGAAGTAGGTCCCAGTATAACCAAGCGCCTTCTCCCTGGCACGGTCTCTCTAAATACTGTCAGAGCCGCGTCAGAGGGGGGCGGGGCCAGCTCCGCATAGCGGAGTGCCGAACCTGGAAGAGATACCCCATAACAATCCCTACCACTGCAATACCTAAAAAACTACCAGAAAACACTAACTCCTCCCAACATTAACTTTACATATGCGTTGTCCTTTTTTTGGAGAGGTTAAATGATATCGGGATCAAAAGATACAAGCATCATTATTACTCTTTTTGGTGCCTGAACCCACTGCTCTTTACCATATGTTGCCATCCATTCTTGTTCTTCCTTACTTTGTGTCCATTTACCAGAAGAAATGTCCTAGCAACTAACTTAATTCCTTACCATGACGTTGCTGACCCCTGTCCTTTTCATCAATACTAAGTTCCTATTTCCTAATTCTTGTCAGAGAAGTATTTAGATTCCATAGGGCCCCAGACAAATTTGCGTCTCTCTTTTTTATTATAGTGTTATTCACTAAAGTGAGAATTGTTGAAAACTCTAAGTGAATTTAAAATTTAAGTCCAAAATAGCCAAACTGGAAGCATAGCTGACTTTTAGAATTTTCCAGCTTGGCCATATTGGCCTTAAATACGAAATTCCCTTAGTATTCACCTTGAATTCTAAAAAATTCTCAGTTTAGTGAATAACCTTGTTAGTGCATGGATGGTGTATGGGGTCAAGCACGCACAACTAGTTTTTAAGTAGCTTGTCTAACACCTGGGCCCTAGATTGCTGCCTTAGGTTGCCTTATTGTACATTCAGCTATGTTTTACATGGGATAGAGTACTTAAAGCGGAGCTATAAACATTGGTGCCTTAACTGAATCTGTTGAAGGACTGTTGCTATAGGCTCTATGGAGAGGAAATGCCTTCCTGTCTTTCCTCACTTCCTCTCTCTCTCTTGACTTTGAGACATTTTGTTTTTTAGATCTTCATATGTGTGCTGTGCCCTCACTTCAATTTTTGTTAGCAGCTCAACTCTAACACACAATTATCTGGAGTTGTCAAGTTATATCTTGTATCTCCAACTTCAAACCTCTGAATTGTTCTGATTTTGACAGGACAGCTACAATACTGGGGCCCTGTCGTGCCATTACATAGTTACATAGGCTAAAAAGGGACATGTGTCCATCAAGTTCAGCCTTTCTCAAAGAAGGCAAAAAAACCCAGTTTGAAGCATGGTGTCCAGCCTAAGGCCAGTGGCGTACTAAGGGGGGAGTGGGGGGGGCGGTCCGCCCCGGGTGCCAGCCGGGTGGGGTCACATATCAGCCCCCTCCCCATGCCGCAGTCCTCCTCGAAATGCTAGGCTAGTTTTGCCCGGCCCATGAGGGCGACCGCGACCGCCTCAAGCAGCCTCCGAGGAGAGGGGCCATTGCGGAGGGAGCGAGAAAGAGAAATAAGGGGTGAGAAAGAGAAATAAGGGGGTGAAAGAGAAATAAGGGGTGAGAAAGAGAAATAAGGGGGGTAGAAAGAGAAATAAGGGGTGAGAAAGAGAAATAAGGGGGTGAGAAAGAGAAATAAGGGGGGGTGAGAAAGAGAAATAAGGGGGGGTGGAGAAAGAGAAATAAGGGGGGTGAGAAAGAGAAATAAGGGGGGGGGTGAGAAAGAGAAATAAGGGGTAGAAAGAGAAATAAGGGGGGGTGAGAGAAATAAGGGGGTGGGTGAGAAAGAGAAAAGGGGGGGTGGGTGAGAAAGAAAAAGAAGGTGGGTGAGAGAGAAAGGAGGGGGGTGAGAGAAAATAGGAGCGTGGGTGAGTGAAATTAGGAGGGGGTGAGAAAGAGAAATTGGGAGGAGGAGAAGGAAATTGGAGCGGGAGGAGAGATTGACATTCATCACATACACAAAATGCACCCCTTGCACACAGAAAAACACACAATGCATTACACACACAGACACACATACACAAGCAATGCAACCGTTACACACAATGCATCCCTTACACACACAGAAACACACAATGCATTCATTACACACACTCAGTGCACCCCTTACACAAATTCAATGCATCCCATACATACACAGAAACACACCTTGCAGTCCTTACACATACAAACACAATTTCACACAATGCATTCCTTACACACATATCAGGACATCCCCTACACACTCCACCTCCTGTGAACAAACTCATTGGTGGAACATGAAGGTGGACCCTGGGACCCAGACCTTGAGCTGTGTAAAGGGCCCCCCCCCCAAAATGGAGCTGCTTCCCGTTCTCCCAGAACATTGATTTTGTGACCACAGTTACAAACAGCCTCCAGAGATCCTGTTCTACACCAGACCAGTGGAGCCAGATTGCAGCTAGAGCCCATCATCATCCTCATCTGCTTGTAAGTAGGTAATCTAGTATATTATTCGTGGCACTAATCTCTAATTTACCTCACATTAAAGAAACACTATAGTCCCCAGAACCACTGCAGCTTAATGTAGTGGTCCTGGTGTCTATAGCCTTTTCCTGCAGGCCTTTTAATGTAAACACAGCGGCACTGCAGCACTGGCGTTAGTTAACATGGCAAATCATATGGCTGGGGCATTGTGATGTCACATGGGGGGCGGCAAACTTTACTTTTGCCTTGGGCGGCAAAAATCCTTGTACCGGCCCTGGCTGGAGGGGGCTGTGTGAGCTGTGGCCGCACAGTGTCCCATGGTAGTTAGGGTGCCGTGCGGCCAGTACAGCTCACTCAAGCAAACAACTGATAAACTGGCCCGGAGGAAATGTGTATGTGTGACTGTCTGCCTGTGACTGTGTGTGACTGTCTGCCTGTAACTGAGTGTGTGACTGTCTGTCTGTAACTGAGTGTGTGACTGTGTCTGTAACTGAGTGTGTGACTGTGTCTGTAACTGAGTGTGTGACTGTCTGCCTGTAAATGTGTGTGTGGGGCTGCAGGGATTTTGTAGAAGGGGGTGGGGGTTTTGTATTGGGACAGGAGTCTTTATAAGGGGGGATAAGCAGGGGATTTGTGGAAGGGGGTTGCGGGGGTTTTGTAGATGGGGCAGTACAGGATTTGTAGAAGGGGCAGGACAGAGGTTTTGTAGGAGGGGCAGGGCAGGACAAGGGTTTTGTAGGAGGGGCTGACAACGGTTTTGCAAAGTTTACAAATTGTAAAAATAAAAGAAATAAAACCTTTAACATTTTTTACAGGTTTTTTTTTTGTTTGTTTTTTGGGGAGGGGGGTGGGGGGGGGGGTGCCAAGCACAGGATCCGCCCCGGGTGCCAAATGCTCTAGGTACGCCCCTGCCTAAGGCACACCTTTGCAATAATCATGCTGTCTAATTAAGATCTTGATATGCCACAACTGTGAGGTGGATGGATTATCTCAGCAAAGGAGAAGTGCTCACTAACACAGATTTAGACAGACTTGTGAACAATATTTGAGATAAATAGGCCTTTTTTGTACATAGAAGTCTTAGATCTTTGAGTTCAGCTCATGAACAATGGGGGCAAAAACAAAAGTGTTGCGTTTATCATTTTGTTCAGTGTAGTTGCTGCATAAACATTTGTACAGACTGATAAAACCCTTTCTTCAAGCATAGAATTTCACATCCTCATTGTTCATACCGTAAAAAAACCTTTCCTTTGCCTAAAGACTAAATATTCTTTATTCCAGTCTAAACATGTCCTATGTATAGTACTGTTTGTAGATAGATTTCCAGACAATGGTTTTGTCACGTATCCTTCGTATCCATGTGGCAAAAACTGAGATAATTACCTTCTTAAGATCAAGGGGAGTGCCCCTCGGTGGTCTTCTGCTAAGATGCCTGGCTTGTGCAGCATGTCGGTGCACGCTGGCCGCTGCGGACCCACGCAATTATATAGCCCCACATCCATCCACGTGCGGGTGACGTCACGCAAAAGACGCACACGCAGGTTTTGGGGTCAAGGGCTAGGTACAGCCAATTGAATCTGCAAGAGGGTTATTTAAAGTCACTTATTCCTTAGCTCACTGCCCTGTCGTGGTTTCCCTTAGATGGTTATCTGAGAGTGTGTTCCTGGTCATTTTTTTCTGTTTTTTAACTTTGGCTTTGTTTTGACTTCCCTGATGTCTGGTACTCGACTTTTGGTGTTTCCTTATCGCTGTGTTTCGTTCTGTGTTCCTGACCTCGGCTAGCTTTCTGACTATTCTTGGGTTGAAGTCCGGCCATTCTAAGGCCCGGTAAGATGTTACTAGTTCTAGGGTGTGATACTATTCTGCGTTCTGGATCAATATAATCCAGATATATTTGTATAATGTTATAATATCCCCTCTGAGGCGCTGTTTTTCGAAACTAAAGAGGTTTAGCTTTATAGCTAAAATGCTCTATTCCTTTTATTAATTTTGTAGCCCGCCTCCGCACTTTTTCTAGTGCCATAACATTCTTCTTTAGAACAGGTGCCCATAATTGTACAGCATATTTAAGATGTGGTCTAACACGTGATTTATAAAGAGGAAAAATTATATTCTCATCCCAAGAATTAATGCTCTTTTTCATGCATTGGCATTGCACATTGTTGCCTAGTTTGTTGTCTATAACAATTCCCAAATCCGTTTTTGCCTGTTGTTCTGTATCCAGGGACACGAGGGAACATCAATTTTTTTTAGATGTGCTAGTGGGTTCAGCCAGAAGCTGTTAGGTAGCCTGGCGAGCATTGATGCCTGGGAAAAACACCCATTCTGTGTCCCCACTCCCTTTCCAGGTGGACCTATCCACTTTGTGGGTCAACCCCTTAAGTCTGGTTCCCCAGTTTCCCTATATCTCTCAGTGTTGGTGGGAATGCAGCTCTGCACCACAAGCATTTGTAAGCGGTGTGCTGATGTGCCTATGCATACACTAGTATAGTTCTTACCCCCACTTAGGTCTCTGCCTGCACTTTTGTGTCAATTAACATTGGTCATTATTTTGCTGACAATAAAGTCAGAGTGAAATTAAGAGTGAGTATTGCTTTGTATGCTTATGGTAAATAATAAGACCATATAGTGTTATGTGATGTCTTGTTTTTAAGTAAAGTTTAGTAGGTACATCTAAAAAAGTCCTTTTCAGTTTGATTAGTTAAAAAATATGTCCAGTATTACTTGATGTTCATTAAATAAATATAGTTTTGCATATAACGTGATCCCTGGTGCACTGCACTCATAAATTAAACGTGTTGTCGAGCACATGTACTCTTTAAACTACACCAAAATAGCTAAGAGGTTATAAAATTAGCATTGGCGACTGTCAGGTGCTACGTTTTCTGACATAATGGAGCCATTATTGACACTGGAGAAATATCTACTCTTTTATAATGGAAAGGGGTGCAATTCCAGGTCAGTGAAGTATGCATATAGCCACATGATGTGTATACATGTGCAGACAATATATGTCAGTGCTGACATCTGTGATTGTATATCTGCACATCCACTGCAAGTGCCTCAGTTTTCCACTGCCCAACCTTTTACGATTTTTAGCAATTATCACACCAGGTGGTAGTTTTTCCCATCCAGTGCAATTTCATTCACTACTGGATAATGCCTCTTGGCTTGGGAAATGTGTGTCCATGTGATTGATTATGGACAGTAAGATGCTAAATCTCTTGGTATGTGTTAAAGATAAAACTGTGCAGGTCCAAACATGGCTACCTCCTGGCAGATTGTCTTTTGTCTAGCTGTGAGTTAAAACTGTAAAATAAATGTTTTGGGCTTAAAAAGTCCGGCGCCCTGCTGGCAGTGTCCTTTGGCTCACCCTGGCAAGAGGTATTACATTAAAAAAAAACTACATATAAGCATTATACTTTTTGTACCTTTATTTTTTAATAGCTTTTCAAAGATTAAGCTGGATGTTAGGATAGCTCTGGTACATGAACTTAGGCTGTTGATGTTTATTATTATTATACTTTATTTATATAGTGCCAACACATTCCACAGCGCTGTACATGGGTACTATTTGTACGAATATAAGAGACAAAGGTACAATACATCTGAGACAATACAAAATTTACCAACAAATACAGGAGGAGTTGAAGGCTAGTGGGAACTTACAATGTAGATGGATTGGAGGGGTGTAAAACAGGAGGTTGGGACTGCATAGGTGTTAATTCAGAATGAGATAAGGGCATTTATTGGTAAACTAGGAGAAAGACTGACAACGCAGGGAAGTGCATTCCAAAGGGTTGGTACCTCTCGAGAGTGTGGTCTTGTAGACTAGCATGGTATGAATGTGTTATCTTCTAATCTACAGATGTGGCAATATGTGAATGAGGTGATATTACATACATTATATGCCTGAATTGTCTAAATCATACCATTCAAAGGACCAGTTGCCCAAGAGGCCTCCGATGATTGCCTACCTTGGAACATAATTTTTTGAGTCACTGTATCACTAAATTTTGCTTTGTTTTTGTTGAGTAATAATTGCATAATAATGGTAGAAACAAAATCACTATGATGATTTTTCCATCAGATATTTTTCTTTTTGTGCTTTAACTGACAAAAGTCTATATAGTGAATATAATGATGCTTATGTGAACAATAGTAAACCGAAATAGTGGATCACTTATTCCTAGTGTGCTAAAACCACAACCTTGGGTATTTATAACGTGAGATGAGCCAACATTCACAAATACGAGCTCAGTCCTGAGAGTCTAGCTCTTGTTAATATAATGAAAACGGTTTGCCCAACATCGATGACACGTGGCAGCCAAGGATAGTGAACTGGAATATGCATGTGTGAACAATGATGACTTCACTGTACTAGTCAGTGGGAGCACTAGACGCCGTTTAGTGAGCATGTGTACTGTGTGGCACTTGCATTTAAAATGACTGAGCGAGTAATGAATCTACATAAAATTTAGCGTTAAGAGTCAATATTCCTCTGCAGAATCTATTTGGATGATTCAGAAGGCTTTCAGGGATGACGCAACGAGTTCAGTGCATGTAAAATTGTGGCACAAACGTTTCCAAGATGATTGAGAATCTTTCGAAAAATTTGGCACCCTGTGACTTCTAGCTTTTCCCAAAGCTAAAATCACCTTTGAAATGGAAGAGATTTCAGACTGTCTATGAGATTGAGTTAAATACAAAGAGACAGCTGATAGCAATTCCAACAAAGAATTTTATAGAGTGCTTTGAAGAGTGGAAGAGACGCTGGGAGAACTATGTGAGGCCCCAAGGTGAAGGGAACTGCGGCATCATTGCTCTTTGTACCATATTTCTTGTATCTTCTTCAATAAATGTCTCTATTTTTCATATTACTGGTTGGAAACTTTCTGGACAGACCTCATAGTTCTGTTTTTGGGATATATTTACAGAGTTCTGAAATGTGATAAATGAAAAAAAAACTGTAATTATTTGTGAAAATCTATTATTTTGCTTTTTATTATTATTATTTGTGTGAACCAAATGCATATCCAATCCTCGGAGTACAGTTGCAAGAAAAAGTATGTGAACCCT